TTATGTTAATATCAGTGGAATGAAAATATTGATATTATTGAGGTGGTATTGATGATTACATAAATGGATATTTTATATGCTATTGTTACCAATTTACTTTCTCGTTTATTACTGTATATAAAATGCAAAAAAATATTCCATATCTAAATAATTTATTACCTATCAAATGATATCTATGATTTCTACCATTTTTTCTATCATTAAACATAACTGATAATATTTGGAAGTAGTTTGGAACAATAGAGTGTATTATGTAGTATAGTATAGTATATAGATTTTAAATATTAACTTTCAACTGAACATTTAAATTCACAAAATATGCCGCCATTTCGAACAAATACGAGGCAAAATGATGAATTATGTATTTGCGTCAGTCATACTATGAATGCCTATAATATCAATAAATTAAGAGATGTTCCTTAAATATGTGTTTTGTATGTCAGATTTTTACTCTAGTTTTCAAATATGTAATCAGATTTTGATAATACTGAAAATTAAAAAAGTTATTAAAGAAAAAGTGACCATTGAACAATTCTGTCCGGGCTACTATGTACTTTATAAATATGATTAAAGATTGAAGATTTTAATGAAGAGATTGATACATTAAGAGTGCAGGCCAGACATTATACAGCTACCATACATGAACTAACATCATCATTAACCCCCCTATCACACCAAACTAGTTCTTACCCGTTCTTGCCAGTCCTACGAAAACGTCGTAAAACGGGCTCAATCTGGCTGTGGTCGGGAAATATGTCTGAAATAATTAGCTTCTTCGTTCTTAAACAGTCTTCAATACGTCCATCTCGTTCGCATTTTGTTCAGTTCGCACCACGTCGGTGTGCAACGTCGTACAGAACGGATTACAGAACGGTATGGTCGCCATCGAATTTTGAATCGATTCAAAATTCTAAAATCACATTCCCGTCTGAGAACGTTCATAGAGTTCGTAAATAGACCTTAGAAAGTTGCAGCTACGTTCATTCCGTTCGCACACAGTTTAAAACCAGTTTTGAAGAACGCAGTGGCAACTTGTTTGGTGTGATAGCTATCGTTCATAAGCAGTGTTAAATACGTTCTTAATCAGTTTAAACCCGTTTGCAATTAGTTCTACCTCGTTCTCAACACGTCCTCAGACAGTTCAACTCGTTGTTAAAACGTCCCTAGTAGGATTGAAGTACGACGGTTCCGTTCGGAGTACGTCCACCTTGTCGTTAGTACGTTGTCACTCGTTCTAATTGTAGAACGTGACGACCACAAGAACATTTTGAGCATTGTCTAAGTTCTAGAGGACCTACCCGTTCAAGTACGTCCGATGAAGTTTGCAAATAGATCCCAAACGGTTCTTAGTAGGTCCAGTCCGTTCATACACAGTTGAAGCCCGTTTTCGAGAACGTAGTGAGAACTAGTTTGGTGTGATAGTAGGGTTAGATATTACATGACATCATTGTTACATTGTTTTGGAATGAACTTAAGTCAGGTTGATAATTAAGGGTACAGACCAAACAAGATGCAGCCACATATACTATACATGAGCTGACATCATCATTATGACCTCATTGTATTGACTTAGGATGGACTTAAGTCAGGATATTGATAACTAAGGGTACAGATCATACAACAAGGTGCATCTACTATACATGAGCTGACATCTTTTTTGTAATATGACATGACATCATTTTATTATATTGTTTCATGATGAACTTAAAGACATGTTAAGCAGATAAGTAGGTCAGTATTACATAATCATGAAATGAATAAGTCTGAAAATACAATTGGTCAGAATGTACTAAAACCTGCTTGAAACTGAAAAACATTGCATGCTCTATTCCACACAATTTGGAAGCTTTTGAAATTCGCAGTAACAATGAATAAGCAGCCTGTATATAATCATTGCATAGAAAACACTTCATGTAGTGTTTATCAGATGTATTGAGTTGACCAAAATACTCCTTTGTTTACTACATACTGGACTACATACTTGCACCCTTACGTTACTGTACATATTGTAGAATTAGCCCATAAGAGCTTTGCAAAATCAACATCTTATACTATCAACGTAATAGACGGCTTGCCCAACCTTACAGGCAAACTATTATATACAAATTTGAAGATTAGACTGATATTGTCACATTGAATTATTTTTTTATTTTATTTATTTATTTTTTTTTTATTTACATTTATTTCAACATAACAAAATTACAAAACAAATACATTCAAAAATACATGCAATTTCTACAAATACATAGAACATTTTAATATATAGAGCTTCACCAAAAAACAACAACATATTTATGATATAAATTTTTTAATAAATTGATCTAAATAATGATTTACTTTTTCGTTTTCATTTACACAGTTTGCGTAAAACTTTAAATTGGATGCAATTTTTGATTTGAAGTTGACATTTTCATATTTATTCCTTTCTTCCGACAATTTTACCCATGTTGAATATATTGTGTAACCTATAATAGTAAGTATTAAATTTCTAAATGCTATAATATCACTTTCCATGCAATAAAAACCCAGAATAAAATGTTTCCAGAGTATTTTACATTTCAATATTTTTTCCACATCCTTCCATAGTGTTTCTACTAGCTTACATTCAAAAATAAGATGTTTTGCATTTTGAATTATATTACATTTTGAACAATTTTGGTTAATATTAGAGTTCCATTTACATATCTCACTTCCACATGCTAAAATGTTGTGAAGTAATTTCACATTGAATTATGATAATAAGTAAATAACATTTTGTAATATTTTGCATGGGTATAACCATGCACAGTAGAATAATACACAGGGTTACCCTAAATTGTAGAAACATGAATATGTTTCTAACTTATAATTAATTCATATATCCCAAGGATTTCACCTGTTCCCTTCCGAACTCCCGTGCAGTGATATATCACTGCGGCGGGAGGTATCTCACCGTAAGCATGGTAACTTCGTAATAAACAACTGACGTGATTGGTTCTAGTCCCATGCTCAGGTCGTGTGATTGTAAAATTTAGACAATTTCATTGGTTGAATTGCGCGTATTAACTAATAAACAACACGTGCGGTAAACTATTATCAACACAACTTTTACTCAGAATTCCTTCTGCGGTGATTTCTTCTCATATTTCAATAATTTTGAAATATTTTGACAAAATAGTGTTTGGGGAACATTCATGAATACATATTTTATAAGTTGTGTGAAAATTGACCACATACATGTATGTGATGGAAAGGGGAACTATTTTCCCCAAATTTTGGGCTACAGGTGGACAAACTATTCCCCCTGAAAAGTTTTTTAAGGGTCAGATCACTAAATTCATGATTGAATTGAAAAGCTTTGAATGCTAATTTTCAAGAATGGATGTATTACAAAAGAAGAAAATATGAAGAATTCATATCGTTTATTTCGAGTGATTATTTAGTGTCAAGTTTTGTCTCTAGTGACAGCATGTTACTGAATATCTCATCAAGTGACCTAAACTACAGAAGCTAAAATAAGAATACCGAAATATTATAATTTAGTATGATTCAGAGAAAGGGATTACTGTAAAATGGGTAATTTTGACACCGGGAAATTTTAGCGATTTTTCAATTTTAGGGGGTTTTAGCGCGGGAAATTTTAGCGAAATGAAGATTAATCTTTAAAAAATCAAATAAGCGAAATGCATTAGAAATTTTATCATTTATGGCAGAAGAATGAATAACGGACATGACAGAGGAATTATCAAAATGTAAGACTTCTAACGCAAATGGTATTGGTCCAAACTACTGTAATCTCATGATGGATGGCTATTTATCCTTCAGATATTAAAAGAAACATACGATTTAAAAATATTTACCTTTTTCAAATTACAAACCGGAAGTCGAGCACTGAACGAAAAGCTCCTTAAATACTAGTATTCATGTAGTTTCCCGGGAATTTGCAAATTTTAGCGCCCGGTTTATTTTTACCCCGGTTTATTTTAGCGAATTGAATTTTTAGCGAAACTATAGCGATCGCTAACAATTGCTAACAATTACCCCTCGCTAACAATACCCGTTTTACAGAATACAGAGAGATAAGCAATTTATCTATTATTTTACAATTTATCTCAATTCTTGAATTTGAAGATCTACTGCTATATTGTTTAATATGCATTATCAACAGATCGATTTGATGGTAAGAACTAGTATTTGATATGATTGATTTTACCTTTTTGTCATCATTGCTAAGGAATATAATAATACCATTCCAATTAATGATAACTCACTTATTGTATTACTTCCGCTTGAAACACATGCTGGAAGATATGCTTTTAAAATTAGTAAACCATTACTCAAACTATGGTTACCCTGTAGTAGTGAAAGGCGCATTAAAATGAATATCACCCCCTTCAATCTATTTTTACAGGTTTTTATGATTATTTCATGTTTTTCTATATTTTGCGTAACCAGGACGGTGAATTTTCTTCATTTTTCTTCAAACATTTCGTCTTACCAATATTTATTATATCTGTCAATTTCAAGAAAATCGCGCCGCTACGTTTGAAAATAATCCAAATTATGTCATTTTTCCCATTGAGCTCCATTATAAAAATGGAATTTTCAAACTTAATATTTTAAAATTCTACGTGGTGAAAAGTTGCATATTGAGTAGTTAGTTAATGTTATGGTGTAAAAAATTCAAAACAAAAAGGAATAGAAAAAATGCCACGGAGAAGTCTCATTAACATATCTTTAAGTGAATAGGTTGATACATTAATGGTACAGACCAAGCAAAATGTGTGTACCATACATGAGCTGACATCATTTTTGCAATATGACATGACATCATTGTATGTTTACAAGCTACCATACAAGAGCTGACACCATTATGATACTATGACATCATTTTATTGTTTCAGGATGAACTTAAGTGAAGAGGTTGATACATTTAGGGTACAGACCAAGCAAGATGCAGTTATCTTTCATGAGCTGACATCATTATAAAACTATGACATGACATAATTTTATTGTTTCAGGATGAACTTAAGTGAAGAGGTTGATACATTAAGGGTACAGACCAAGCAAGATGCAGCTACTATACATGAGCTGAACATGTGTATTGAACAAGAGAAACAAGGTGAGTATGAATTTTGACCAATTAACTAGATTGCCTACTATACCCTCTGGAGCGAAAGTTAAGCATGGACGTAAATTCAAATATCTTTATGATCAAATCAAACCTCGATGGAATTGGATGAAAGTATGTATGTATTATTGTAATTTTCAAATTAAATATGACGATATGTCATTCAGTTTCATATGCGGTATCACCTTTTTAATACTTAACTGAGGAATAAATAATGATGGGCCATTCAATATGGTGAAATTCAGCACATGTTGAACAGAATGTCGTACAAAGCTGGATATACTTGTCATGATGTGCAGGAATAGCTTAAGCTCATCGATGAAGAGGAAAGCAATTAGTATTTCGTGCATTAATTTTCTAGTAGTGTGGTTGTATTTGCATGCCTGTTCAAAGATTGTTGATGTTATATTTAATTGATAGCAGATCCATTAGTTAGATAAATATGTATTCGTTGAGCACTTGTATGTGTGAATCTCAGAACAAAACAGAAGTAACCAAAACAAATATTACGGCGCAAGAAGGGCACTTAATGTAGTATTTTATAAGTAATTTTTTTTTATTATAGAGCACTTCATCTGATTGATACTAAGATGGACAATTTTAGGTTATTTTTTAACTTTTGAGCAATGTTTAAGGCCATATATCTGAGATCAAGAGGGTGGTTCCTTTTTAGGCTCAATTTTTGTTGAATCCCTTTAGGACCCAATAGCATTGTTTTTTGGTTTACATTTCAAAACAGGTTAATGGTTTATTATGTAACCACCAGAAGTAGTGACATGTTTTAGTAGTATTTTGTAGATTATGTTCATTGGTTGGTCATCACAAAGCAACATCAAATAGAACAAAACAACATGTAATCCATAATTTCCTTGTGTAGAAAAGAAGACATGAAATTGATTTAAAGTATTGATTGATCATTATTTTATATTTTCTTGTACCCTTGTTTAGAGGGATCTGAAGACCTGAACACAAATTTCTTGATACAAGATAATATCTCAGAAAATACTATTTTGCCATATCTGTATATAGTATAATATCAATCATTTTCTCCTTTTTTCAGAACTAAGATATGCTCTTGATGAGATTTCTCATTCTAAGCCAGAATATGAAAATCGCATCGCATCACTGAAAGAAGAACTGAACGATGCTATCATAAAACTTAAGATATCCGAGGACGAACTAGATTCATTGAGGGGACAGTGTGACAATCTATTGAAAACAACAGATAATGTAGAAACAGAGAAATTATCTTGGATGGATGAAAGAAGGTAAAGATAATCAACAAATTTTATCAATATTTTATCAACAATTATTTCAATAGTACTATTATGAACCACAGGTGACATATTTTTATAGTCTCAAACTTTTTTGAACTTATGTAACATGGCCTCTGTAACGTTCATGTTAATGTCATGTTTTAGTTTACTTTGGCATTAGACAAATATACAAGAATAGCTAGAAAAAGTATACCTTTAAATATATTTTTGATCAAAATGTTATATTTTATAGAGCATACAAGAGTGAAGTGAATGAATTGAAGGAAAGTGAAGCCAACTATAGAATACAAATAGCAGATCTAAAACGAGATATTCACAGGTATTGGACATTATAAACATGGACCTATTTTATTTTTGTATACTCTACTTTGAATACTTTTTTATTTCTCTTTTGCTGCTTACATACATGTATCTTTGGATATTACGAAAAGAAACTTCCATGATCAGCTGAGGAAAGTTTATTTTAATGATAATCTGTCTAAGTTTGTAAAATACGACATCCAATGAAGCAGGTTATGCATGAATTTGTTACTATTTCCAAAGTTTGGTAAGTCCTGCTAACATTACAGTGACCATTCACAAGCATCAAACCATGATTAAACCCTACATATTCAAACCCAAACCTACTCTTTGAATACATGAAGTGAAAATTCATAAATACCCAACTTTTCACAGACTCAACTTGCAGCTGAGGGTTCATGCTAGCAAGGGTTCCCCTAGTACCCCTAATAGGAGGAGAGCCCCAGTAGGGGGGAAGCAGAAGCTAAGCCCATCAAGACACTACCAGAAGATGCTCAACAAGTCCATAGAGAAGATGAGCAATATGATTGAGGGATTCAATGATGATGATTGGCAGGAGGTCTCAGACTCAGGGTAAATATTTTAAAATACAAGTTAACATGAATTCAGTTGTCACATGTTTTATTCTATTCTACAAATTCCATAGAATTGCATTCATCATACAATTTGTGAACTGATTCACTGGCGTATCCAGGGTGCAAATTGGGCCAAAAAAATTTAAGGCCAAATTATCAAGAAATGGGCCTTAAAGTTTTTTGGGCCCAATTTTTGTTTTTAGGGGCCCAAAATCTTTTCCTCGCAAAGGTGGAAATTTTTCCTAATTGAAATGTTGTCCCCCTATTGTTAGCTTTTGGATCCGCCAGTGAGATTGATTCATACTTTTCAACTTAATATACAAGTAGTATGTTTAATGTTCAAATTATCTTGTGTGTGACTTTCCTATTTATTTTGAGAGTTGTTTTGCTTTGCTTGATGTAAGTATGGTATCAACTGAAGTACAAGTTTGCTTGTATTATGATATAACAAGATCTATTGTACATGGTATACTGTACAATGTTTCAATCAAACTTTAAAAAAATTAGTACCGTGGGTACTGGGCTCACATGGTGTTGCTCAAAAAGTGAAAGATGGCTAAAGTGACAGACAATAAAAAAAACGATAAAATTTTTTGCTGATTTTTTGTAACAAAATTATTTCAAGCCACTTGCCACTATTTGGACTGACTGAGAAACAGAAAGACAAATCGATGTTAAGTAAAATGGCTGAAAAAAAAACGGATATAATTTTTTGCCAATTATTTGTAACAAAATTATTTCATACAACTACTCTTTACAGTGACATGGCTTTTTGTTTTGCAAATATTTGTAAAGCTGGGAAGTGGGCCAAAATTGAATTTCGCGAGACAAAAATGGCAACCATTTTGAAAATAGGCAAGCTTTTGAACCAGGAGTCATAGGGGAGTTTTTTGTATTGATGTTGAACAAAAATAACTTGAAACTGGAATCCTATTGGCAGAGGTTTTCAGGCAAATAGTCCAAAAGGGGATTTCGTGAGACAGATGGACAAATGTCAATTAATTGAAAATTAATTGGTTTTATGTGTGTTTTATGGGAGTGGTTAATTGTTGTTACGATTGTCAGAATTTGATGTAAACAAATCGGTTACTAGGAAGTAGAGTTGAATGTAGGTCAACGCACATGCGCAGAAGAACGCCATTTTCCATTCATTACTTGATACAAGGAGAAAGCAGGTTGTTATCTGAGTGAATCTCGCCCGCCATCCCTCCCCCATTTACCACCCATGAATTATCCCCCAACTAAGGTGAGATCAAGAAATGGTAAGATAGTTATTGTTCGTGGTACATGAAGGTAAGCAACCAAAGTAATCACAATGGTATTGATCAGATGTACTATTCTATTTTTAGCTAATTAGAAAAAGTAAACAAAAAATGTGTAACAATAAAAACTACTCCCTAAGAAACCCACATGAACCAAAAAGACAAATAAATCAGTGTTATAACTAAAATGGCTAAAAATAAAAAAAAATGGATATAATATTTTGCCGATTTTTTGTAACAAAATTATTTCATACAACTACTCTTTACAGTGACATGGCTTTTTATTACAATGCAGGACAGCTGAAATTATCTGTAAAGTTAGGAAATGGGCAAAAGTGAATTTCGCGAGACAAGAATGGTGACCATTTTGAAAATAGGCTAGCTTTTGAACCAAGAGTCATAGGAGAGTTTTTTGTATTGATAAATTAACTTAAAACTGGAATCCTATCGACAGAGGGTTTAAGGTAAATGGTCAAAAAGTGGATTTCGCGAGACAGAATTACAAATCAATGTTAACTAAAATGGCTGAAAATAAAAAAATGGATATAATTTTTTGCTGATTTTTTGTTACAAAATTATTTCATACATCTACTCTTTACATTGACATAGATTTTTACAATGTAGGACACCTGAAATTATTTGTAAAGCTAGGAAATGGGTCAAAAGTAAATTTTGTGAGACAAAAATGGCAGCCATTTTGAAAATAGGCGAGCTTTTGAACCTGAAGTCATAGGGTAGTTTTTTGTATTGATATTGATTGACAGAAATAACAGGAATCCTATCGACAGAGGTTTTGAAACGTGCCACTATTGTTGACGGACGGACGGACAGACATACGGACGGACAGACAGACAGACGGACAAGTGAGTGATTGCAAAAGCTCACCATGTGAGCTAAAAATGAGCCTTAAAAGGGATTTTATATTAAACTCTTCACATTATAGTTTTTCCAACTTTACCATTCAACAATTATTGTCTCATTCTGAAGGTTCATGAAGGTTTTTGTAATAATTTCTCTGTCATCACCTAGAAGTGGTGACATTTTACATGTATTATCACATTTTATATTATGCAATATATATCAAAGCTACTAATTACCAAAATCCTAATCTTTGTACATTACATACATACACATTGGCAAAAATTATGTCATCTTATTTCACTATCATATAATCATAGATAATGTTTCGTCACATATATATATATACAGGGTGTTCCAAATGTAACAGGACTGGTGCTGGCATTTTGTCAATTCTGCACAGAGTGTCTTCAAATTTTCACAAATTGTACTTTAAAGTATTGCAACTAAAATTGTAAAGTTTCAGAAAAAAATGTAAAATGCGGGTAGAGTTGTGGTTACTATAGTAACATGACATCACAATACCCGGGGCATCTTTTGCATAAACATGTAACATCTAACATTTTTGTATAACTGAAGAACGTATCTAATTCACCTATCACAATACAACATTCCCTGTTTGTTTTATTATTTGCTTCGAGTAATGGTGTTGCTATACAACTCAGATTCAAGTATGATTTCATAATAATAATATTTATTCAATTTCCTGGAATGTCACTTTGCATAACAGTCTGCACAATTCACGGTTGGGTTTTTAAAAAATACTCAATTTGAAGCCAGCCATCCACCTTGATAACGCGCCTGTCCGCAAGTCAGCATTAATGACCACTAGCCTGCAGCTATAGAGGAGCTATGTCTTAAGATCTAAGACAATGCACCATACTCTTCTGATCATGCAAATCTAATTTTTACTTATATGGAGAATGGAATGCTAATCAGCACGGTTAAACCTTAAAAAATGAGAATGACCTTCTCCAAGTTGTCCTGTAGACCCTGCGTGACATGTCCTCAAATGGGTTCACTCATGTGTTTAAGTCATGGATACAGAGTGCTACTCTTGGACTGACCAAACAAGAGCCTACCTTTTAAAGAAGAGGATACATAAGAATATCAAATGATGTATTCAGCAAATGTAATTCCCAGCATTTATTGGATTTTAACTTTGATATGGGATGTACAAAATGCTTAAAGTCTCTGTAATTGTCTACGTGGAATGTTGCCCCGGGTATTGTGATGTCATGTTACCATAGCAACCATAACTCTCCCCGAGTTTCATAATTTTTGTTGAAACTTTGCAGTTATAGTAACAATACATGAAAGTACATTATGTGAAATTTTGAAGATGATTGGTGCATATTTAACAAAGTACTAGCACCAGTCCTGTTACTTTTGGAACACCCTGTATATATGAACTTACATATTGTGCAATTAACAATGATGTCAATTGATGTAAACTATCAGGTCATATAACGTATGAACACTAACTCTCCTTCATGTGTGCCAACGACAAGGTCCCCATTCTTGTCAATTTTCACTGCCATCGGCTTGTGTACGTTGTCCTGTGGGATAGCCAGGTAAGAAAGCAATTTACCATTTGGGTCTAGCAAGTGTATCCTGTCATTCCCACTGTCAGCCACGATAATGTTATCCATGTGATCTGTGCAAATACCTGTCAACGAAGAACTTACATGAGGATGAGAAAGGTAAACAGATTATAGGAGAGTAAGACATTTATGTTGTTAGATTATAGTTTGGGATATTATTTGTCTTATCTTATTTATGACTGGTTAAAAGCTATTTAGCCGTTAGTACTATTGTATTTTGCAATACTTTTCTTCTTTCACCTTTTGACCCCCAGCTTACATATTTGTATTTTTATTAAATATTATTTGCTGCCATCAATGTCCATAACACTGAGTCAGTATGTGTACATGTTATTTGTCATAGGTCTTGTAATAAACACAGATGAACACACAGATAAACACAATGATGTCAATTGATGTAAACTATCAGGTCATATAACGTATGAACACTAACTCTCCTTCATGTGTGCCAACGATAAGGTCCCCATTCTTGTCAATTGTCACTGCCATCGGCTGACTGTTCAAGTATACTTTTAAAAGAGACTGATTGGTGAACAAATTGGCCCCGTGATTTTAAACCATACAGATATATTAGTATCCCTACCTGCAGGCCCCTTGAGTTGACCATAATCTGATCCCTCAGATCCATACTCGATCACAGTATTACCATCTTTATCATAGCCTGTTACACAATGACTATCATCATCTGATATGATGACAACACCTACAAGTACAAATTACAACTTAGGAATCATACATTGTATACATTAAAAATTGGAGAAGAAGAGCATTGGGTGATATGAAGTCTAAGATACACAAGTTACTTCACATATACTTTCTTCATGTTTAAAATACCTATTCATCTATTATCTAAAATGTTGACAATGAGATATTGTCATTAACACTAAACTATTCAAAACAATGATGACTCGTAAGCCGGTACCTTTACTATTTGTGGTGATGTACCAAGGGTATACTGGAACTTTTTTGAATCTTGGCCTTGTTTTGAAGTGAAATGTGTTAACATCGAAGTAAGACACACATTTAGACATGATGTCCGTACATATCAGTATGTCTGTTGTTTTCATTGTACAAATACCCCTCGGTTCTTGTAGTGTACCAAATTTTCCCTGGTATACTAGATTCTGGTCATAAATAGCCACACACTTGTTGACTTGATCTGTTAAAGCATAGGTACCTCCCTTTGTTGTACATAACCCATAAAATGATCCTTGATTGGAGTTTTTTCTTTCGAGAGTTCTAGGATCAAGGCAGACAATCTCCGACTTGTTTGAACCAAATAGTTCCAGTAAAACCAAGTCTCCATTTGTTCCTGATGTTATGCCCAAAAGTGCTTTGTGTCCTGTTTGTTTATCTTGCATAAGTGATTTCCTAATACGGATACATGGATAAACTAGACTGCGAGGACACCCAACTGCCTTTGGAGTGGCCAGTGATTGTTCTGGATGTGATGTTCCTTTTGTATCTGTATGTTTTATGATAGTCCCGAGTTTGGCTGTGTCAAGAACCCCAGGCTCAAAATCTGTTCTGTTCAGAAGAGGAAATTTAACTTCTGGTAAAATATCGCATTGGTTTAACTTTTCTTGAACTGCACCCTGCAAGTTGATAATTTCAACTGGGTGTCGATAGTTCTTTGGAACAGATAGAGGCTTTAAGATTCTCTGGGTTAATGATTTCTCTTCTTCCATGTGAGTTTTATAGGTTCTAAACTCTTTCATGGCATCAAAGTGTGCCTCAAAGGACTGATCTGTAAGTTGCTTGTAGTGTTTGTTTACTGCTTCTTGCATAGCTTTTCGTTCTTTTTCAATTTCACGAATCATTTTTTCATGTGAACTCTTGTGTATGTGGAGTACCTCATCTGATCTACCAATCTGCTGATTATATAGCTCTATTCTTTGCATGGCTAAACCGACCAAGGATTTCTCATTTTCTAAGGATGTCACTACAGCTTCTTGAATGGAAACAAGATTATGCTCAAAATGCTCATTATTACTGCAAACTGTGCATAGCATGTCGTCGTGATCTTTACAGTAAAGTTCAAGTGGCTGGCTTGCATGTTTCTCACAATAGATTATCCTTTTGGCCATGCTTTCATAAATGATTGGCCAATCCTGCTGTTGATGTCCTGTAAGAGCCAAGAGATGACGTTGCTCACTGACTTTATAGACGAGTATGAAAATCCTCCAAAGCCTTCAAATAAGGGAGTTTAATATTTTACTGACCCCCAGCGAAATTTTGGTACCATCAGAAAGCTCTGATATCATGCATTGCCAATTTGAGGTTGAACAGAATTTTGACTCGGGCCGTTGCCATGGAAACGGACGCTATAAATAACTCCCGCTTTTAACGAGTGTTAATACGATAAAATATGTATTCCCAGATATCTTTTTTATTTTCTATTAGATATTTATAATATGGGTATCAAATGAAAGTTCATGATGGCATCTTTACAATGAGGTATGAATTATGCAAATTAGCTCATTAACATAACCATTGTGACGTCATAACTGACAAAATTTAAAAGATTTTAACATAAAACTTAGCTGTGTACCTGTATAAAGGTCCCGTTATTTAAAATTACGATGTATTTTTTCCGTTTTTCATATTCATTTGAAAGAGTACGATACCAGCTTCAAAATAATGTATAAAATATGCCATTTCGGTCTAATAAATTTCTTTATTGAGCTCCAAAAGGGTAACATGCACAATCAAAAAATTGTTTTGAAACTGATCCTCTTTGAAAGAAATGTCAAAAAGAAGGCTCAAGTTATGTTTTATCTTGGATTATCGCTTTCATTTTCGTCAGATAATTTAATGTTTGGTATCAAATGAAAGGTAGTGCTTTTTCCTTTTTGATGAAGTATAATTTATGCAAAATAGCTCATTAACGTTTCAATTGTGACGTCATTATTGACATAATTGACACAAAAATGTCAGAGAAGTCAAATTTATCTCATTTATGTTAAAAGGTATAGACTTGTTAATTTCTATCGGATCTTAATGATTAAAGTACCATCAGTTTGCTTGTCATGCATTCCTTTTTAAAACATATATCAAAAACATCTAGTACATAACTTTAATACATTGTGAACTGTGATTGAATAAGAGCCTTTCAGTCATTATTCGTGTATTTAGCTCTTTTATAATTAAATTCAAATTTACCTAACATGGAGTTAAAAGTGTGTTTTTCCAATTTTGCAAGAAACAATATCACACCATTTTTTCGATAGCAATAAGACACATTTTAGTAAAAAACAAATTGATGAAGGGTGTGGGGGTCAGTAGTTATTTACGCATGAAGTGGGGATTTCAGACGGAATATCACAAGGATGATATTCATAACACCCAAGAGGTATTACTCATATAACCCCGACAGGTGAATAATTATATCATCCTGATAGATGAATAACGACACTTTACTATGGTCAAAAGCAATATCTTCCAAAAAACAAACAATGAGAAATAGCATTGGAACAGAACTAAAAATAACACTGGAAGTCATTTTGGGAGTCACTGTTACTGTTCCTTTACCTTTGAGAATACTCTTCTCAATAATAAATTTGCACTAATGGGATGATATGGATATCAACCCCATATCATCCTGCTTATCATCCCAATATCAGTCGGGGTCCCAAATATGTGATTTATCATTTGCTGTTGCATACCTGATACTGCTTTGACTATACGGTATGATACAAAAGAATACCATAATAATGGTACTTTGTAATTAATCCCTTGGTATTTTGGAATGATATATCAATGTAATTGATTTATGATAATCATTCATATATTGATATCATATTCATTCATATTCATCCTATGGTTTATTCAAACGAGAGTGACATTCCATCAAATATGGCCTTTAACTCTAAAGTTCCTAGTCTTATTTTTGAAGTTTAAAGCATTAGTTTTGTCTGATTTTTCATGTAACTGCTCTTCTGGATATAGGAATAATTTCTTGCAAAAACCATATGGTGGGGGCGGGATGGGGGCCTACTAATTCCTAAAATTGATTATCAAAGTCAAGAAATAAGAAGTTAAGTCAGAAAATGCTTTCATGAATGACCCGATTACTACATTTTTTAAATATTGCACAAATATATGCTGATACAGAGAGTTTATTACATTGATTATAATTACTGCATTACTTGATTGCATTTTAACATCATCGTATTCGATGCAATGATCAAAATACAAAAATCTACCGTTAATTAAAGGGGCAACAAGGTCTGTAGAGAAAAAAATCAACATTTTTACTTTTTCTGAGCTATCAGGGCAACATTTGGCTTAACATCTTCATTGTCAGCATTAAGAAGTGTAAATTCAGTTCAAAGCTTCTATAAAAGGAATCCCACTTATAGATTTTTAAGATCCATCACGTTTCAAGAGGAATATCAGCTGAAATGATGTTCATCCAGGGGTTTCTTGGGAGAAATTAAAAATATATGTTAGTCTTGATGAAATATCCAAACTTGAACATATTTTGACACTGGTTCATGATCGTTGAATGGCCACTCTGCACTAATTGTTGCACCTTTAAAAGAAACAAAGATTTGTCTATATTTTGTTATACCCTTAAAGATGCATCATGTCACAGGTTTCTCCCCCAGACAATCAATGATGTCCTATTGTTATTGCTCATATAATATCTCACATATGAGATACCATGGATATATCTTGAGAATAACTTTTGGGTATAAAAATGATTTGTTATTGTCATAGCCTACTGAATTATGAACACGATGTAACGTTACGTGCATTCTCTTATCGGGATTAAAAGTGAATAATCATTCCAGTACACCATTAGAAACCTTTTTTGTCATAGTGAATGTAGTTTTTTACCGACAATGTAAGTGTGTTTTTCTTATTGCGTTTCATATTAATGAACTTAATGCAATGTAACATGCGTTTTCTCATCGTAATCCAAACTGACTAACAAGAATGAAATTGGTCTTCTAACAACTGAGACATTGTCAACATTATCTTCTTACTATATAGCACAGTGGTCTGTCTAGCTGTCCAGACATCTCCACCAAGACAGTTTGATCTTGGGCCATCTTACTTTGTCATCATACTAATTGGGTCTATGGTCATGCAAGGTCAGGATCATCTAAGGGTCAAAGGTCAATATCTAGGAATTTGCCTTTTTAAGACCCCTGGTCTGTGCTGTGACCCTTGAAGTAATTAAGTAACCTGAGGTCAAGGTCAACTTTATTGGTCAAGGTCATCCCAAGGTCAAAGGTCAATATCTTGGTATTTGGCGTTTTAATGCATCCGGGGACTATAATGCTCTTGTTGATCCATTATTAGGTAACCTGAGGTCAATGTCATTCCTTGGGACGTGCTGTGACCCTTGGTGACCAAGGGTAAGGTCACCTGAGGTCAATGCCATTCATAGGCCAAAGGTTAATATCTAGGTATTCATTGATTAGGTGACCTGAGGTCAACGTCAGTGTTTATGAATCAAGGTCATCTCAAGGTCAAAAGTGAATATCTAAGTATCTGGCATTTGTTTTAATTACCTTTAAAGTGCTATGACCATTGGCGACCCAATATTAGGTGTCCTGCGGTCAAGGCCATTCCGTCAATATCTAGGTATTTGGAGTTTAAAGACCCTGGGGGCTGTTGTGACCCTTGGCGACCCATGATTAGGTGACCTGAGGTCAAGGTAAATGTAAATGGGTCAATGTCTTCTCAAGGTCAAAGGTCAATATCTAAGTATTTGATATTATAAGGACCTTGGCAGCTGTGGCTCTTGGTTATCATTGATTGGGTGACCTGAGGTCAAGGTCATTCTAGGGTCAATGGCTGATATTTATTTTGAGTTAAGACCCTGGGGGCTGCTGTGACCCTTGGCGACCCATGATACGGTGAACTATCTTAAGGCCAAAGATCGATATCTAAGTATTTGATGTTTTAAGACACTTAAGGATAATGTTACCCCTGGCGACTCATATTTAGGTGACCTAAGGTCAAAGTCAATGTTTGTGGGTCAAGGTCATCTCACTGTCAAAGGTTAATATCTAGGTATTAAGTATTTGGAGTTTCAGGGCCTTTGGAGAAGTTCACTTCAATTAACGAATCAGTCAGGGTTAAACCATCAATAAATACAGGTATTTAGCATTTTATGGGGGGTGCTGACATGTTGGGGCTGCTGTGACCCTTGATGTGTCTTGCGAACGGGAAATAAACCATCGGATACACAGAGGATATCCTAATCTATAAGAGATGATTCTTAATTCACTAATCTGATATCAAATATGTGTATCTATGAGTGGATAAAGATATGATATATCCTTACAAAATACCAAGAGATCCATTAAAAAGTATGGTATTATTTGCATTATTCCATAATAACATGTTTTCCCCCGGAAAATAACGGGGAATAGAATTGATATTCAAAAAATCCTGTATCAGATCCCGTATCAGCCAAAATCCTGTATAAGCAAAAATTGCGTCTCAGATTTCGTATCAGAACTATTCCCGGTAATTTCTCTTCAGTTTAATTTTAGAAAGTTATTATAGAATAAATAGGTTATTGATGGTTGTGATGGAATATGAATTTTTTCCTTGAGAAAATATGATAAGGGCCTTGGAAAATATCATATTGACACTCAGGCTATCGCCCTCGGTCAATATTATATTTTCCTTGGTCAATATCATATTTTCCCTCGGAATAGAATTCATATTCCATCCCTTCCATTGAATAACCTCTATTTATTCCATTATAACATGTTTTCCCTGGGAAATAAACAGGGAATAGAATTGATATTCAAAAAATCCTGTATCAGATCAGCCAAAATCCCCTTTCAGATCCCGTATTGAATCCTGTCAGCCAAATATATGTTATTTACTTGGAGGGGTTGAATATGGGTTTTATTCCGAGGGACAATATGATATTGACCAAGGGAGCGCAATATCATATATTCCGAGGAATAAAACACATATTCAATCCTGACCAGAAATAACTGATATCCATGATAAACATGTTAGCTTAAAAATAACCGGGAAACCAAAAATAGGTTAATAAGTTCCAATACGATTTTCTCGGGGAAAATAAGTTTTTTCATGCTATACGCTCCAATACGATTTTTCCCGGGGACAATATGATTTTTTCATGTAATACGATTCAATACGATTTTTGTTCCTTCATATTCCCCTGG